GGTTGGCCCGGCACCTCCGGAGGCGGTGGCCGTGGTGGCGGCCCGCGCAGCTTGGCGTCTACCAGCGGCTCCAGTGCTGTGACCTGCCAGTACCAGCTTCAGACCGGGCCTCTCCGCGGCACTCTGTGCCGCCGCCCGCACCCGACCGCCCACTGTTTCCGCCGCCTCGACGATCTTTTTCGTCGTCGCTTTGGCCCGGCCCCGGACCTCCCTGACTGGCACAGCCTGCTCCGCCAGGGCGTGCCGATCTTTGAGTTAGACATGGATCAGATAGGTGCTGCTTTGCATGCTTTGTATGCTGACGCTTCTAGTGTTGATGGATCTTACTACCATGTGTACTCTAGTTTAGGTGTTTCACCCTTGTGTAGCTTAGCTTCCCCTGCTGCGACAGGCGTAGGACTGCCTAGGTTGCCTAGTCTAGTCGCTGCACCGGCTCCGTCCGCGGCCTCCGCCACTGCGTCGCTGTCCTTCACTCTCGACTCTGGTGCTTCTGCCTGCTTCTTCCGCGACCGTTCCACGCTCACGCCGCTTGCTGCACCTGCTGTTGTCTCTCTCGCTGACCCCTCTGCGGGTCCGGTCGTCGCGCGCAGTTCTACGTCCCTTCCCTGTCCGGCAGTTCCCTCGGGCTCCCTTACTGGCCTCCACGTTCCCTCGTTCTCCAGGAACCTGGTTGGTGTCGGCTGTCTCCAGGACCTCGGCGTCACCACCACGTTCCCCGGGCACGAGCGGTTCGCTGTCTGTTCTGAGGCTGTCTCCGGTTCCCCCCTTGCGACGTTCCCCCGGGACCCGGTGTCCGGTCTGTTTACCCTACACACCGCTTCCCCCCCGGTTGGTGCGTCCTCCCAGGTCGCTGCAGCTTGCTCGTGTCGGTCCCTCACTCACCCCTCCCTTCTCTGGCACCACCGCTTAGGTCACCCTGCTCTCCCGCGTCTGCGTCACATGTCCCAGCACGGTCTTGTCTTAGGTCTCCCCGCGTCGCTCCCTGCCCTTCCTCCCTCGACTGCGCCACCGTGCACGCCTTGCGTCGAGGGTCGGCTCCGCCGTGCTCCTCACTCCTCCTCGCTGCGTCCTGCTACTGCCCCCCTTCAGACCCTGCACTTGGACGTTTGGGGCCCTGCCCCCGTCCCCGGACCGCGCGGTGAGCGCTACTTCCTTGTGCTCGTTGACGACTACACGCGCTACACCACGGTGTTTCCCCTGGAGCGGAAGGCCGACGTGCCCGACGTTCTTCTCCCGTGGGTTGTAGCTGCGCGTCTCCACCGCGGTCTCCCCGTGTTGTGTCTCCACTCCGACCGTGGCGGCGAGTTCGCCTCTGGTCGGCTTGGACAGTTCTGTCGTGCGGAGGGCATCACCCAGTCGTACACGTTGCCGGACTCGCCACAGCAGAATGGGGTTGCTGAGCGCCGCATCGGCTTGGTCATGGAGGTCGCCCGTACCTCCATGATCCATGCCGATGCCCCCCATTTTCTGTGGCCGTTCGCTGTTCGCTACGCGGCTCACCAGCTTAACCTGTGGCCACGCTCCCAGCGGCCGCAGGTTTCGCCGACCCTCCTTTGGACCGGGTCCCCCGGTGACGCGTCTGCGTTCCACGTCTGGGGCTGCCTTGCTCACGTTCGTGCCTCTGGCACGGACAAGCTCACTGCCCGCACTGTCCCCTGTGTCTTCCTCGGTTTCCCCCTGGACTCGTCTGACTGGCTTTTCTACCACCCGCCGTCTCACCGCTTCCTCCACTCTCGTGACGTCACCTTTGACGAGTCCGTCTCCTTCTACCGCCGCTTCCCTCACCGAGGTCTCCCAGTTGCCCCCCCCCTTTTCCTTGCTCCCTCTCCCCCGGTAGCCCCTGCCCCTCTCCCGCCTCGTCCTGCCCCGTCTGGTGTCTCCCACGTCACTCCCCTCCCGTCGGTTGTCCCCGTTGAGGAGTCTGCTGACTCTGGTGGTACCCCCGGTCCGTCCTTGCCGCGTCCCCCTTCCCCAGTGCCTCCGCCCCCACTGTCGCAGTCGCCGACCCCGCTGCCGCCGCCGTCGCCGTCGCCGCCGCAGCCGTCGCCGCTGTCGCCGCCACTGCCGCCGCTGCTCTCGGCCCCTGGGGGTGCTGGTGTGGAGGAGGGTGTTCGTCCTGCGGCTTCTGGGGGTGCCGCTGGTGTTGGAGGGGGTTCTCGCTCTTGGGGTGTTGGTTCTGGGGGTGCTGCTGTTGAGTGTTCTGCCGACGGTCGTTCTGCCTCTGCTGGTCCGAGAGTTCCGGCCCAGCCGTCGTCGCCGCCACAGCAGCCGTCGCCGCCGGTTTCCGCTCTCCGCCTGCTCGGCCTTCCCTCCCCGGACCGCGCGCCGGTGTCTCCCCCACCGCCTCCTGACCTCCCTGTCTACGGTCCTGTGTTCCCGCCGCCAGACTCGTCTCCGGCCCGTCTTCCTCCTCGTTCCCCTCCTGTGTCTCCTCCGCTGTCCCCTGACCCTACCCCTCCGTCTCACGTTTGGGCTCGCCGTCCCTCCCGTGCTCGTCCCGTCTCTCCTGTCCTGCCCACCCACCCTATGTTGCTCCGTTCCCACTCGTCTCGTCCTCCCCTCCTCCCGTCCCCTCCTCCCTCGTCCCTTGCTGTTGCACCTCCTCCGTTCTCTGACTACCTCCGTGCTGCTCGTCCCCTTGTCCCTCGGGTCCTTGCCTCTCTTGTTACCGACCCTGCTGTTCCTGTCTCGCGCCTTGACGCGCTTGTCGCTGCTGTCGCTGACTTCGCTTCTACCCGCCGCCTTGACTACGCTACCGCTCTGGTCTCTGACCCTGCCCGTCCTCTGTCCGTCGGGGGTGCTCCTGCCCTTGGCAGTGACGTCCTAGAGGACAGGCAGTACGAGCTGGCTTTCCTTTCCGAGGCTGCTCCCCATCTCTGCTCCATGCTGTTAGTCCCTGAGGGTGACCCAGACGCCTTCGACATCCCGACCCCTCGCACCTACGCTGAGGCCACCTCGGGACCTTGGGCCTCTCAGTGGATAGCTGCCATGGAGCAGGAGATGGCATCTTGGAGATCCACCGGCACTTACGTCGACGCAGTTCCCCCGCCTGGGGTGAACGTAGTCGATGGTCGGTGGCTCTTCAAGGTGAAGCGCCCCCCTGGAGAGCCGCCTGTCTTCAAGGCGCGCTACGTGGCCAGAGGTTTCAGTCAGCGCGAGGGGGTTGACTTCTTCCAGACCTTCGCCCCGACCCCGAAGATGACCACTCTTCGGGCGCTGCTACACGTAGCAGCACAGCGTGACTACGAGCTTCACTCTCTCGACTTCTCTACTGCCTTTCTTCAGGGCAGCCTACACGAGCAGGTCTACCTGCGCCGACCACAGGGCTTCACTGGTACCTTCCCTCCTGGGACCCAGTGGCTTCTCAGGCGCCCGGTCTACGGCCTGCGTCAGGCTCCCCGCGAGTGGCACGACACGCTACGTGCCACGTTAGCAGACCTGCAGTTCTTTCCGTCCTCTGCTGACCCTTCACTGTTTGTGCGTTCCGGCCAGACTCCGTTCTACATCCTTGTCTACGTAGACGACCTGGTCTTCGCTACTCCTGACAGGGACGCACTGGCCTCTGTGAAGGCTGAGCTGCTGAAGAGACACACCTGCACTGACCTTGGAGAGCTGCGTCGCTATCTTGGCCTGCAGATCTCTAGGGACAGAGCAGCACGCACCATCACTCTGACCCAGTCACACTTGGTGCGTCAGGTCCTTCAGAGGTTCGGTCTTCAGTTCTCCTCCGCACAGCCCACACCTCTACCCGTAGACCATGGGCTCTCTGCTCCCGTTCCTGAGGAGCCAGTAGAGCCCAGTGGCCCCTACGCAGAGCTGGTGGGTTGCCTCATGTACCTGATGACTTGCACTCGCCCAGATCTCGCATACCCTCTCAGCATCCTGGCTCGCTTTGTGGCTACAGGCAGACACCGACCTCAGCACTGGTCTGCCGCTAAGAGGGTTTTGCGTTATCTTGCTAGTACATCAGGCATGGGGTTAGTGCTAGGAGGACGCAGGCCAGTGGTCCTTACTGGGCACACAGACGCTTCTTGGGCAGACGACGCTGAGACGCTCAGGTCGTCGCAGGGCTACTGTTTCAGCCTTGGTTCGGGTGCTATCTCTTGGAGATCCACTCGCTCGTCGTCTGTGGCTCAGTCTAGCTGTGAGGCTGAGATCTACGCTGGTGCCATGGCGGCACAGGAGCTCCGCTGGCTGACCTTCTTGCTCACAGACTTAGGTGAGCGGCCTAGCTCTGCCCCGGTCCTGTACGCTGACAACAGGGCCATGATACTCCTGTGTCAGGAGCCTCGGCTTGAGGGCAGAGCGAAGCATATCCAGCTGCGGTACTTCCTCCTGCGCGAGCTACAGCAGCGCCGCCAGGCCCGCGTAGTTCACTTGGCCTCAGGTGCCAACACAGCTGATATCTTTACTAAGGCGCTTGCGCCTAAAGATCATCAGCGGCACTGTGTACAGCTTGGTCTTGTTCCTATAGCTGCTCCCCTGTTAGGATCCTGATTGTGTACTCTCTATTATATATGCTTGTCAGACTGGCCTTGTGGCCTTACCTCCAGTGGCTGGACTAGTAGTGCCACCCTGGCTTGCTTCAGTTTTGGTTGTATTCTTGCTGACTGGTCTCCAGACCCCTGCCTCAGTGGTTGGACTAGTAGTGCCGCCCTGAGCTGTTTGCTTCTTGTTTAGTTTCACCCCTTGTCTAGCCTAGGGGGTGTGTCAACTTATACATATTATCTATGTAGAAGTTATAGGCTAGACTGAGGTATGCTTCTAGTGAGTACAACCAACTAGTATTTGTTCTAGGTTTCCACCTCTAGTAAATTATTCGTTTCTACGTTAACACAAAGGTCTTGGGTTCAACTCCCAGTGCCAGCGCTGCAGAGGCGCTCGTGTCTTCCACCTATCCCAGCGGGGGGGGGGGGTGTTGAGTGACCGGCTGGGGTTGCCCTTGAGCTCTGGTGTTCCTATATCTTGGCTTGCCATTCCTTGTATCGTCATTCTGTGATTGAACATCTCGTTATTCATTTCCGCGCTACTCTGCTTGTTCATTCATAACATCTCACACGAACAAAACAGGTGTTGCCAAAACACGTTTTGCGCCAAACAGGTTGGACGGACAATCTGGCTAAAAGTGGCGGTGGCATGCGCAACAAAGAACAGCAGTTGCTTGTGCTCCTCCTCCACATGCTTGCAGTGCAGCCCCCAAAGTGGTAGAAAAACTCCACACCACACATCCCCTCCCCCCATCTCTCTTCCAACCCCACCCTCCTGCCCTCTTCGCCCCACCCTCACACCAGCAGCATGCCACCCACCCTCACTCTACCCCTGTCACTCCACCCCTCCCCCCTCTCACGCCGCGCCGCCCCGCTCATTGACCACTTTACACGTGAGCAGCACGAGCTGGCTGATGGGCAGCCACTGTGGTGCGATCACGCGTGCTTCTGCGGCCACGCCCCCCGACGCCCCGCCCGTGGCCAGCGCGCGGTCGAAGTGCACCAAGCTCTGCTCCTCGCCTGTGCGCTGCCCCTCCAGGACCCTGTCCACTATGCTCCCCAGCCATGGCTCCTCGTATAGTGCTTCTGCTAGACCCTCCAACGCACCCATGCTGCTCCTGCTGCTGATAGTTTCACTGCTGGTTTCACTGCTGCTGCTGCTGCTGGTGTTGTTGTTGCTGCTGTCATTGTGTTGATCACTCTTCCCGCTGTTACCCGGGGTGTCAGCTGGGGGTTGCTCTAGTGCAGGCATGGCGCCCTCAAAGGCACCGAGTGACGGAGGCCTCACACCCATCTCACTGCCGCCGCTGCTGCTGCTCCCCCCATCTCGCTGCGATGGGGGCATGTGGATGAATGAGGCGCCTGGCTGTTGAAGGTGAAGGCGGAACATGGTCAGGTAGACCTGGTGGCGGAGAGAGCGGTGGGAGGACGAGGGAGGAGGGGGAGGAGGGGAAGGGATATGATTGAAAGGCGTGGGGTGAAATTGGTGTGGCAACGATGTGTGTCTTGCAAGCAAGCGCACACTGAGAAGGGGCGTGACAGAGCAGGGGGGAAGAAATGATGCGAGAGCGAGTAGGAGGTGGAGGGGGGGGGAAGAGGCGGGGGGGGGGGCACTGCACCGTTTTGATCCACTGGGTGCGGTAGCCCTCCTCGGAGGACGTCAATCGGTACCCAGCTGCGCTCATCTTGAACTCCTCCGCCTCTGCTCCCCCGCCATACTGCCACCACGGGGAGATGGGGGGGTGAGCCGGAGGGGGGAGAGCGGGGAAGGGGAGGGGGGGTGTGGCAGAGGAGACAATGAGCTATTATGGTGAGGCACAAGATTCTGGGAGCCATGCAACACGTATGGATGTGTAAAGCAGGGCGTGGGATGACTGTAAACTTGCCTCGTTCTCCCCACCCCTCAGGAGGAACCATTACCCTGTCACTCACTCACCTCCCACTTCTCTGCAACTAACCTTGTCTTTCTCCCTCCCCTCACCTCCTCCCCCCTCCCCTCCCCCTACACTCCCTTCCTCTCCCCTCCCACACACCTGCATCTGCAGCAGCAGGCGCTGCATGGAGTGGCCGGCTAGAAAAGCCTCAGCAGCCGCAGCCACGAGGTCGCGCAGGGCGCTCGCTGCAGGCCGCCCGCTGTTGTGCACGCAGAGCTGATGGGGGGGGAAGGAGGGGCGGAGAAAAGGGGAGGGCGAGGGTGGAAATGAGCGAGGAGGCGGCGCATTTGTTCCAGGGGAGGCCAGGGAAGAGGAAGAAGGGAGGGAGTGCGAGAATGCGACATGGAGGGAAGCAAGAGCTCGTGAATACGAGGTGCAAGAAAGCAGGCAAGGCGGTCATGGCTAAAAGAGTCCCCCACCGCACCTCGAAGAAGCAAGCTTCCACGGCGTTAGCCAGCTCGCCCAGCGACCGGTATCCCCCGCGCCCTGCTCCCCCTCCCCCTCCCCCTCCGCCTTCGCCTCCGCCTCGCCCCCCGCCTCGTCCCCCGCCTCCGCTGCTCACAGCATCCCCCCGGCTTGCGCGGCTCCTCAGTAAATCGCCCCTTCTCCCGCCATATTCCCCGCCCTCTCTTCCCCCGACCGCGCTTTCTCCCGCTGCTAGTCTTCTCCCCTCGCCGTGCCCTGCGGACTTTAACCCTCTCCCTACGCGCTCTTGCAGTGGCGGGCAGCGGCGGTGCGCTAGATTCGTTCTTGAATTCGCCGCAAGGGGTTTCCGCGGAAGGCCGGGGGAAGGCCGCTCGTGGCTCCGCGGAAACCAGCGCGCGCACGACGAGCAGAGGGCGGAAGCGCAGGATCGGGCACTGGTTAGCGCGTTAGCCCCCCCAGATGGAGCTAGCGGCGGCATGTGTACAGCGGGCTCGCGCGGAGAATGAGCTGTGCAGAGCAGGCGAGGGCGGGAGGTGGCGAGGGTGGTGGAGTGGAGTGGCTTGTGGCAGCAGTGAGGGGAGAGGTACCAGTTCGGTGTGAGCTGCTGATATCGCGAGGGACCGCCATTTCCTGTGAGGGAGCTTGGTGCTTGCAGAACGAATGAAGCGGTGTACTAGCTTGACTCAAACTCATTATAGTGTACAAGAATATCAAATGCCGATCATAGAGACTTCATAAACTTTTCCATATGGTAGAGGCATTCCCAATAATCTGCACCAGCCTCTCTTTTCTCTCCACATTCCTCTCCAAATTCATCATCCGATCTATCTCCTCACGTGGCAGCACCCGCCTTCCTCCCCATGTACCTCGGCCCCTAGTCTCTCTCCACTCCACCTCCCTCTGAGTCGGCACAGCGGCCTAATCTAACACGACTCCATTTTCATCCGCCCGCATCTTCTCCATCCTCCTCGCACATCCCGGACCCGGACCTTCTACTACCATCAGCCCCCCCTCAAAACCCCCGCCCATCACGAGCCCCTGTCCTCGTCGCGTCTTACGGACCCCCCCGACAGTCTCCGCCCAGAGCCCATGCTCACGCTCGACTCGATCCCCGCAATCATCTGCAGCTCTTCCCTCAAGTCGCGGTGCGTGAGGCGCAGCGACTGCATCTGCTCGTCCACCCGCTGCGCCATGCGGCTGCTCTCCGCCCCAAAGAACTCCTTCTTGAGCACCTCCAGCTCCGTGGCCGCTTCCCCCATGGTGGGGCGTGAGGCCGTGAGAGCTGCGGTGCAGCGCAGGGCGAGGCGCGCCATGCGGAGGACGAGGGAGTCGGGCGCGCGCATGAAGGGGTCCCCGATGGCACTGATGTCCCCGCACGCTATGTGCTGCTCCACCCACTCCTTGATGTTCATGGGCGCGCCCCCATCCATTATGAACACCACCCGGTGCCCCGTCAGCAGCTCCAACATCACTATGCCGAAACTGACCATGTGCCATGGCAGCGTGCCCGGGGGTATGGGAGGGATAGAAGAAGGGAGAGAGGAGGGGGGAAAAAGGGGCAGAAGGTGGGGGGGGGGTTATAGAGAGGGAGAGGGGGAGGGAAACGAGGCTGGATTGGAAGGAGTGAAGGCAGCACAGACAGAGAAGGTGAAATTGGAGCTGCTGCTGCAAGTCCGGGTGCAGCAATAGTGGGGCTTGTTGGAACAAGGTACACTATTGCTCAACAGAGTTACAAGGTAGTGGTAGGTAGCACTGGCAGTGGCAGTGGCAGCGGCAATGGTGTTGGCAGTGGCAGTAGCAGTGGCAATGGCGATGGCAGTGGCAGTGGCAGTGGCACCTGTACACATCGATGGTGGGAGTGGCCTTGTGAGTGAGGGAGTAAGCAGGGTCCACGTAGCCCGGCGTGCCCATCACCCGTGTGGACTGGCATGTGGTCCCCTCCACCATGCGCACCAACCCAAAGTCCGACAGCTTCGCCTGGGGACACGGGACGAATCAGTGAGGGTGTGTGCAGTGCTCATGAGCGTGCGGGGAGTTAGAGAGACGGAAAATAGGGAGTGAGAGAACCCATGGGTGAATCTGCATTGCCGATTGCAGATGTGCCTCATTAGAAAAGGCATTATTGGTGGAGCTGGGGAAATAGCAGGGGACGGAATGAGCAGTGCAGCGCAGAGAGCATTGAGGGAAGTAGTTGTTGGAAGATCAGAAATGGCATGTACCTTCATGTTGGCGTCCAGCAGGATGTTGGCCGGCTTGATGTCGCGATGCACAATGCCAAAGCTGTGCAGGTACTCCAGGCCGCGCGCCATTCCTATCAGAATGTCGACCCGTTGTCTCAACGAGAGCGGCTCAGGGGATGTGGCTGAACGGTGCCAGGCGGACAGGAAGGGGGGGGGAGAGGGGGAGAGGGGGAGGAGGGGGAGGAGGGGGAAAGGAGGTGGGGGGGGGGAGGAGAAACTTCAATCAAAATGAGGTCATGGTTCTCTCGCAGAGATGTTTCCCTGATGGATTACGTGCAGCAGGGCAGATCGGATTGCGCATAACAGGTCAGCTGTATCTCACACTATTGAAAACGAAGGGGGTAGCCTTCATGAAGGGTATGCAGCATGGGGCCAGAGTTTTTTTTGGGGGGGGGGGGGCTTTAAGGAGATCCCAGGAGGAAACCAGGCCCCTTTTCCCACGCCGATCCACCTGCGAGCCCCCGGGGGAAGACCCCCCGTGGGGCCAGATATGAGGGAGGGCAGTCCGTGTCCACCCATGGCGAGGAGGGGAAGGGCGGGGTAGATTTAAGGGAAGGCACTCCAAGCTTGGTTGAGGGCATAGCAGCTGGATGTGGAAAGGTACTATCAGCGCGGGATAGCTATGTTCATCTGAGATGTCTCAAAACTAGCAGCTATGTAGCACCAACGACGGATACTTATACAGCAGCAGCTGCCGAATCTGCAGCTAGCAGAGCACAGGGTTGCAGCAGCAAGAGGGCACGAGGCCCCAGGCAGGCCTGCTTGTGGTAGCATGAGATGGGATGATGAGAGTGACCTGGGTGCAGGCGCTTCTCGAGGTCGCCGTTGGGCATGAACTCGTAGATGGCGATCTGCTCCATGTTCTCCGACGCCGCGTCGCCGTCAATGCAGAACCCCAGCAGGCGCACCAGGTTCGGGTGGTGCTTCGTGGCCATCTCGTTCACCTGGGCAGGAGGAGGCGAGCAGGTGGGGGAGGAGGAGGGGAGAATGGGGACAGGGCGGGCTGGTTTTGGAGAATTCGCAAAGCCCAACTCAAGGAGTGAGAATGGGGACATAAACGCGAATGAGTGAGAGGAGTGAAGAGAAGGAGACGCCATGAGCTTTCCAGCCTTGTTGTTAGAGAAGGAGAGGAGTCGGCTTCCAACAGCTGCTCACCCCTTCAAGTATGAGCCCCTGATTGTGCACACAGCTGCGCAGCACACCCCGACCTCCCTTCTCAAATCGTTAGTGAGCACCCATCATCACCACCGCATCACCCATTCTACACGTTCTGCCTTACCTCTCGTCCAAAGTCATTGGGGAGCACAGCTCATCGGTCCCTACACCTGCATATCCCCACCCCAACAACCGTACCTCCCTCCGGAAGTCGCTGGTGAGCCGTGTGCACCAGCTCCTATCCCCATGCCATCACTGCACAACTCACCTCCCTCCGGAAGTCGTTAGTGAGCACTTTGGCCCGCTTCACGGCCCACACCGTGGAGCCGTCGAGGGGGCTCACCCCGCGGTACACATCCCCAAACCCGCCACTGCCGATGCGGCTCTCCTCCGCCCACCCGTTGGTCGCCCGCACCACCTCCCCCACACTCAGCTGCTGGCACAGCAACGGGCCCCTGCGCTCCGCTGCTGCCGCATCTGGGAAAGAGTGGATCCGGCGAATGCAGGGTATGTTATAGAGTTTGCAAGGAGACAGCGCACAGTCTGCCTGCAGCAATGCACTAAAACTGCTAGAAATGGCAAAAAGCGTGAACGTGGGGCTTTACTATGCGGGCACAGGACAGAGGGTAGGGTGATTGAGTAGACAGGGAAGGAGAACATGGTTAGGAAGGGGGACAGCAGACTCTGCTGAGCAGAGGAGGGACGCAAGGCGAAGAGAAGATGTGTGGGGTGAGTGGGGTGAGTGGGGTGAGTGGGGTGAGTGGGGTGTGCGGGGTGAGTGGGGTGTGCGGGGTGAGTGGGGTGTGCGGGGTGAGTGGGGTGTGCGGGGTGAGTGGGGTGTGCGGGGTGAGTGGGGTGTGCGGGGTGAGTGGGGTGTGCGGGGTGAGTGGGGTGTGCAGGGTGAGTGGGGTGTGCGGGGTGAGTGGGGTGTGCGGGGTGAGTGGGGTGTGCGGGGTGAGTGGGGTGTGTGTGATGATCATCGTACTTGAGCTTGTTCTTGCAATGGTGGGCGTTGGACCTGCTGTGCGTGGCAATGGCAGGTGAGGTGAGGCACCAGGGTAGGGCGGGGGAGAAAAGGGAAACGGGAAAAGAGGAAAGAGGGGGAAGAAAGTGAAGGAGGATAAACGGGGGGGCATTGCATGGCATGGTAGATAAAAGATTTTCCCTCCCTTGTATCTGAGAGGAGCTGGAAATGCACCCAGGGGAGGAACACGAGCGCAAGCAAGCAAGAATGGGAGCAAGCATCCAGACTGTGCAGTGTACGGCACCAGGGGCTACAGCACATACCTTGCAGCACCTCCCCGGAGGTCAAATCCCCGCTCGCACCATCACCCCCACGAGCATTGGGCGACCAGTTGATGAGATCCGCCCACTGCGAGGCGATAAACACCTTGACTGCCTCCAGGTCGTGGATGACCCGCGCCATGGAGGGGCGGCTGTCGGGCGGCATGGCCAGGCACGGCAGCGCCAGGTCCGCCATGCGCGCCACCAGGCTGTCCGGCGCCTTGAGGTGTGGGTCGCCGATGAGCGAGGTGTTGCGCTCGTACAGGCACTGCACCACCTGCAGGGGCGGGAGGGGGGAGGGAGGGGGGAGAAGGGGGGGATGGGTTGGGGAGGTGGAAATGGGGGATGGGGGATGGGGGATGGGGGTGTTCACTGGGGAGGGGGAGAGGGGGCGAGAGAGGAGAGCATGGAACCTATCTAGAGTGCAAGGTCGAATAGTCTTAGAGCAATTCACAAGCTGGCAGTTGGCACTCGTGGGCATGGCGTCACACTACATCCTGAACCTCTTCTGCCTTGCTCCCTGATCGCAATCATGCGCCTCTAGCCATCCCATATCAAACATCACAGTCCGGTACCTTTGCCAGCCCGGCCAGATCCCCCCATCCCATCCCATCCCATCCCATCCCATCCCATGCCATCCCGTCCCAACCAGCACCCATGCAGTGCAGCACACCCCCTCTCACCCATCCCTTGAAGTTGCTGTCGGCGTTGCCATCCCACTCCACGGCCTTGCGCCCGGTCAGCATCTCCAGCATCACCACTCCAAAGCTGTTGCCATCCCCATGCATGCACCACGCACGCACGGGGGAATAAAAGGGGGGGTGGGAACAGGAGAACCAGGGGTTGAAACTTCCACCCGTTACAGGGGTTGCTTGCATCGGTCGGCATTTTCCAAGTCTGGAGTTTGTTTGCGTCTTTCATTACGCTGGTGATCCCTTGTTTCGCACCTGTAGTTCTTGTTAGAAACTGAGAACTATATTGATCAAATGAGCAAGAGCATACATCCTTAAGTACCGAGCATCGGAGAGGGTGGGAAGGGATAAGGGAGAATCGGAGGGAATCCCAAGGGAATCCTCCCAAATCGTGGGGATTTGGGATGGATTGGGTTGGGATAGGTTGGGGATGAAAACATAGCTACACCCAACCTAGCAAATATGCGTATCCCTAAAAACCAACAAATTGCCAACACACAAAGTTGTGCCAAACGACTTGCAGCCTATCTGTAACAGTTCTTCCTTCGAAGCTTCGATTATCCCACTAGCTAGTGGGATATTATTTGTGCCAATGATACACTATACACTGTACAGCAACGTGCAAACCGCATGCCAAGAGCACTCCCAAACATCCCCCACCCCACCACACCACAATGCACCACTCCACCGCACCCCACCGCACCACACCCACCTGTACACGTCCGCGCTGGTGCGCACGTTCCTGTTGGCCCTGGCAGCGGGGTCAATGTACCCGTGCGTGCCCATGCACTGCACCATCTGCTCGTCGTATCCCATGCGCACTGCCCCAAACGCCGATATCTTCGCCTGCACGCAGTAGAGGAGGGAAAGGGGGGGGAGGGGGAGGGAAGGAGAAGGGATGGGGGAGGAAGCGGAGAGGGGGGAGAGAGGGGAGTGGGAGAGGGGAGTGGGAGAGGGGGGAGAGAGGGGAGTGGGAGAGGGGAGTGGGAGAGGGGAGTGGGAGAGGGGAGTGGGAGAGGGGAGTGGGAGAGGGGAGTGGGAGAGGGGAGTGGGAGAGGGGAGTGGGAGAGGGGAGTGGGAGAGGGGAGTGGGAGAGGGGAGTGGGAGAGGGGAGTGGGAGAGGGGAGTGGGAGAGGGGAGTGGGAGAGGGGAGTGGGAGAGGGGAGTGGGAGAGGGGAGTGGGAGAGGGGAGTGGGAGAGGGGAGTGGGAGAGGGGAGTGGGAGAGGGGAGTGGGAGAGGGGAGTGGGAGAGGGGAGGTGTTGGTTAAGGGAGAGAGGGGGGCAGGAGGGTCGGTGGTGCGTTGTTTCACCTTCCAATCAAGAGGGTGCAGGAGAAAGGCGCATGACACGATCTGGGCGGACAGGGGAGCAGGCGAAGAGCGCAGAGCAGGGGCCTGTAGGAATGGAGGAAGAGAGCCCACCTGCATGTTGGCGTCCAGCAGGATGTTGGCCGGCTTGATGTCGCGATGCACAATGCCAAAGCTGTGCAGGTACTCCAGGCCGCGAGCTACCCCTATCAGAATGTCCAACCGCTGCTGCAGGGTCAGGGGGTCGCGCGAATCTGTTTGAGAGGAGACGGGGGGGGGGGGGGGAGGAGGAGGAGGAGGAGGAGGAGGAGGAGGAGGAGGAGGAGGAGGAGGAGGAGGAGGAGGAGGAGGAGGAGGAGGAGGAGGAGGAGGAGGAGGAGGAGGAGGAGGAGGAGGAGCGTGGGTGCAAGAACGAAAGCGACTGCTGTGAGCACGTGAGCAAGTGAGGAGGAGGAGATCAAGAGAACAGGTTTGCTTGCGGCTGTGGGCCTGGCACGGCACGGCATGGCACGGCACTGACCTCTGCTGAAGCGGCCGTGGATGCTGCCGCCGGTCATGAGCTCGCATATGATGATCTGCTCGTGCCGCCCCTCGCTCTCGTTGAAGTCGTTGCAGCACCCGATCAGCCGCACCAGGTTCGGATGGATCTTGTTCGACATCTCCCGCACCTGCCAACGGGGGTTGGGGGGGAGTTGCCGGGAGGGGAGAGGGGGGGAATTGGGGGGGGAATAGGAGATGGAAAGGGCAGAAAGGCAGTGCTGTTAAAGTCGCATCAGCAGCAAGTCAGGACTACTTCTCAATCACACAACACACAAGGCCACCCAAATCCCAAAACACGTCACACACCATCCCACCTATCACCACACTCCAAACTCCCCCCTCTCCTCCCCCCTTCCCCCCTCCCCCCCCGTTCTGCCCTCCCGCCCTTGCGCCAGCGCACCACGCGGCCGAAGTGCTCGGTGGGCACGGTGCAGCGCTTGACGGCCCACAGCGACTCAGCGTTCCAGGGCGAGGTGCCGCGGTACACGTGCGCGAAGCCGCCCGTGCCGATCTTGTTCTCCTCCGCGAAGTAGTCCGTGGCGCGCGACACCTCGTCTAGGCTGTACTGCTGGCATGACCCTGCCAATGAGCCGAGAGGAGGGGGACGCATGATGACGCGGATGATTTTTTAGGTGCCTCAAAGATGGATGCGTGTCATGTGACGAAGGTGTGGTTGGTGTTCCGAGGAGGCGGAGGGGGGGAGGTGGGGGAGTGTGGGGGGGGGAGGGTGGGGGTTGGCGGGGGGGAGGGGGGGGGTGAGTGGGATGTATGCGTTAACCGGGGTACGTACGTGTGGCGGTGGGCAGAATGGAGCGTACGTACCTGAGGTGGAGCGGCGGAGCTGTCTGTTCCAGAGCGAGAGCAGAAGCGCGAGGGACACGAAGAGCAGCGCTGCCTCTGACGACACCCCTGCTGCCGCCGCCCCCACCGCTGCTGACCCCAACACGGTGGTGGCCGGTGCAGTGAGGTGCAGAGGGAGAGACGGAGAAGAGGGGTTGGTGGCGGTGGTGGATGGTTGGGCGGAGACGGGGGAGGAAGGGAAGGAACGAGGGCCGGATGCTTGAAGCAACGTGGCGAGGGAGGAGAAGGGGTGAGGTGGGCTGGAGTGCGGTTTGAGGGAGTGCTGGTGGGGAGTCTGGGACTGGGGTGCTGCTGTAGGGCAAGAAGGGGGCAGGGATGAGAGAGGGGAGGGGACGATAAGCAACGATAAGCGATGATAAGCGACGATAAGCGATAAACCAGGAATGATGGAAGGGGGGACGAAGGAGTGGGTCAAAAAGTGCGCATTGGAGGAGGGCACGTGGGGAGCCGGGGAGAAGAGGGATGGAGGGTCGCTTGCGTTGCAAAGAACGACGGTGTGTGACCGAAACGGATGATTCCTGCGACGAAGGGAATTAGGGAAAGAGGTGGAGATAGATAGGAAGAGCAGCAGCAAGGGGGCAAGGGGGCATGCATGACATTGGCATAGCACCAGCGATTTCAACAGCTGTGTCCTTTTTTTGAGTCGACTCAAAAGCGATGTCAACAGCTGTGTCCTTTGGCATTACAACAAGCCACGACTACGTCAGGCACAGGCATGGATGCCACGGATGTCATGGCAGCCATCGCCACGTCACAGGGTGTTACATTGGAACTGCCACGTCACCTTGAATTCCAGCCACGTCACGCCATCTCTGCCACGGCCAGCTGGACGTCGATCCCTCTACCACTGCTCCCGCGTATCGCCCCGGATAGGCTCGAGGCATGTTGTAGGGTTACCCGCTGTAACACGAAGTGATGCTGGAGACTACAAGGATGAGAAAATGTCGACAACTCTTCCGGTATAAGGTACTAATTGCGGTGGGTAGAAAGCTTATAGATCTCTCTTAAATAACTCATTCATCGATCTCCGTTACGGAAGAACCAGATGGTCGTAGGAGAGCACGACTAGCACATCGTTAGAACCGTCGAAATTCCACGGGTACAAGGAACCTAGGGCTAATCGCTGGAAGCAGGAAGGAAGCGAGCTTGAGTAGTGTCGTGGCATTGCTAACTAACGGTGCGCGTGACGCCGCGAGGAATATTAAGGCGCGTGAAACGACGCGTGATGTCGGCGACCACCCGCCAAGCGTGGGCTACGCAGGAAGAGCGAGCGAGGAGCAGAGAACCCTAGTTGGTGCTCTCAAATGCAGTAAGAGCGGGCGAGGAACGAAGAACCCTAGTTCGCACACCCGCATTGTACGGCCCCAGCAGGCAATTCGGCTTCCTCGTGCCGGCTGGTCTATATGGCCAGATACTACGATACGATCCCTCGGCGAATCCTCAAAACGCCTTGCCTCTCTCGCTCCCCACGCTCAAGCCTCGTGCTTCCCTACTGCAGTGGATTTTGGCACGCGGCATGCCTTCTAAGGCCCTTTGTGCGGTCCGCGCGAGAATGATGGCTCCTATGACGTACTAGATACGGGTTTAAACTGCGAGAGAAGCGGGCGCGATCGGTGCACGGCAGTTGCGACGAGAGGGAAGTGGCACGGCTGGTCTAGACCTGACGCCCCTGGCGCATGATTGCCATGACGTGCGCGGATGTCGAGAAACGTGCAGGCACAGTAAAACGCGTTCCTAATAATGGCATTTGTCATTCGTGGCGCCGTGCGCTAACCACTCGGTGGAGATCTATGTGGAGACCGTACAGCATCCCGTAATAGTCTACGCCATCTCCAATGCACAGCGTCGTGTGTGCTTGCTGCTGTCCTCCCCACTGTGGTTCCTCCTCCTGACTTTCTGAGGTCTAGCATCCATCTGCCTTGTGCTCCAGCCCAGTTGAGTGTATCCAAGCCAAACAGTATCCATCCGAATGATGTACCCAACCTTCTGTGTGCATCTCCTCTCCTCTCCTCTCCTCCCCCCCCAGGTGGTGCAGTGCAGTGCGGTCTGATCTGTTGCATCGCCGCGACCATCTTCTCATCTCTCCCCCGCCCCGCCTGCCCTCTCTGTTGCATTGCCTTCCCATCCCTCATCCTCCCACCACGAAAAGGACACGATTGACATTCGTTACAGGGAACCTCGCTCAGGCCCACGAAAGCACACCTGATAGGAGAAAGCAAAAGTCTCAAGAAGCGAGGGTCTCAAGAAGAACACCTGATAGGAGCTTATGTAGGGAAATGGTATTTCCTTATCATGTGTTTTAGTCAGTAAGGCGTACACTGCTATAACGGGTTTTCCGCGCAGTTATGCCACGAAATTCAAATCGCAGTCCCAAATGTGGTCTCCTTACGAACCGCATACATTGTTGCATGCCTTGCTGTTGCATGCATAGATCTGGGCGCTCCGCGCCATTTTGCAAACCACACGTCGCAGCTCTGCCAAGCCACGACCGTGTGCTCCTAGGCTAGCTATATCCATGCTCCCTGCTGTTTTGATGTGGCTCGGTTGTATTGTTTGTTACGAAGGCTACCTTAGCTAGGAAGGAAGGCAACCATGAAATGGCGAGAGGTTTAGGAGCTAGGAGAGGAAATTGACGAGAGGAAAGAGAGGTTGGAATAGGAGAGAGAGAGAGGCATACAGAGCCCGGGAGCGTGCCGCCCCGTGTAGCGCGCTGGCTGCATGCAGGCGTGCTAGCCACTAAGAAAAAGCGCTGGCCGCTACCGTCCGTGACGTCGGCGCGCTGTCGCGTAGACGCCGCGACAACACAACGGCGCTGTCACGCGGCCACAGTTTGACGTCGACGCCGCCGCCGCCACGGCTTGACGTCGACGCCACAACAGCGCGACGCCACGGCAGCGCGTCGCGATGGCCGCGGCAGCACGACGCGGCCGGCGGCACGACGACGCGGCTATAGCAGCACGACGCGGCCGCCATGGCAGCGAGAGAGAGAGAGATTAGAAGAGCGCGGCAGAAGCGTGAGGAGCAGGCCCACAAGGAACGAACAGCTCTGATTCCATGTTACGAAGGCTAACTTTGCTAGGAAGGAAGGCGGCCATGAAATGGCGAGAGATTTAGGAGCTAGGAGAAAAAGTTGACGAGAGGAAAGAGAGGTTGGAATAGAAGAGAGAGGCATACAAGGAGGGAATTGTACCCTCTACAGTAGAGTTCAGTAACACCTACCAAGCTTATAATTCTATAACAAATATAATTTAACATTGTTTTCTCACTAATCAATCCTTCGATACATGCTCTTGGCGCTTCGTTACAGCTTCATGTGCAAACCTGTTTGAAGCTCTACACTTGAATCCGAGTTCAAGAAAAAAAAAATCCATTTTATGAAATATACATGAGACACGAATGGAGGGGTCTTGATCAGAATCAATAATGTTCCTGATCCTGCCGCTGTGCTACGCGCAGATTGTCAGAAGACTAGGATGATAGGAACAGTAGACGGCCATGGAATGGCGTGAGGGTTTTAGAGCTAGGAAAGTTACGAGAGGAGAGAGATCGAGAATAGAAGAGAGAGGGATACAAGGAGGGGGGTTGTACTATCTACAGTAGGTTTCAGTAACACCTACCAAGCCTACCAATTTTATATCAAAGATATAATTTAACACACCCCCTAGGCTTGGTAGCCGAAAGCACACAGCACACAGGACACTAAGCCACACACACCCTCTAAATCTAGCACCCCAATACTCAGTAGTAGCGACGGCTACACCAGCCCGGTCAACCCCTCAACGCGTGAGGCGGCGACGTCGACAGCAAGGGTTGCGACGGCGACGGCGGCAGCGTCGACAGCGGCGGCGGCGTGGCCCCAACGCAAGCGGCGACAGCGGCGGCGGCGGCTGGGCTCGCAGCAATCGGCGGCGTGTCCGGGCTCCGTGACGGTGGGACGGCCAGCGGGAGTCAGCCATCGGCTGCGGCGAGGAAGAGGGGACGCAGGGAAGGGGGGGCGGGGCTTTTGCAACACGCCCGTAGCTGGCGTGCAGGCGTCAGGATCAGAGGCGCCTAGGACATCACGCGGTCCGCTGCCGCCCGTCGACGCCGCCACTGCAGCATAACACCGCCTCTACAACGCGGCGTCGATGCCGCGGCAGTACGTCGACGCTGCGACGGCAGCACGACGCCTTCGCCGCGGTGTGGCATCGACGCTACGCGTCGGGGCTGCGATGGCAGCACCACGACACCGTCACTACAGCGTGGCATGGCCGCGACGGCGGCACAAAAGTAGCGGAAATGATGATTGAAGTACGAGTACGTGGCAGAAGCATGGGGAGCAGGCCCGGGAAGGGCAACCTGCTCTGTTACCATGTTAGAAGACTAGAATGCTAGGAACGGTAGACGGCCATGGAATGGCGTGAGGGTTTTAGAGCTAGGAAAATTACGAGATGAAAGAGATCGAGAATTGAAGAGAGAGGGATACAAGGAGAGGGGTTGTACCCTGTACAGTAGGTTTCAGTAACACCTACCAAGCCTATCAATTATATGTAAAAGATAGAATTTTACACAAATCAACAATCCTAGAAAACGATCGCAAGTGAGTTTCGTGTGCGACCTGGATGTTTCGCACGATCCTATGTGTACGCCATTTCAACACAAAATATCACTTCGACTGCCCAAACTTGAACATGCAAATTTATAGTTCAGTTGTAAAATCCTCACCACGCCGAACCAGACTGGGAAGTGGGCGCTCCAATCACGAGCAAGGGATTTTCGAAGCAAGAAGAAGCACAAACATAATTCGTTTTTGTGCCCGCTGCATGCCATATGTGATTTTTTATTAATATTATTTTTATAAGATTTCCGTTTCGCTACGCGCCGCTCGTCAGCGCGCTTTCGTTTGCTTGGCGCGAGTTGGGCCCTGTCCCGAATTTGTTTCTAGGAGCAGCCAATCGGACATCCCCGTGCGACGCTAATGTGACTGCCCTCGTTTCTGATCTTGGTGTAACAGACAGGAAACGAGATCTGTTGGGCTGAGAAAAGCCCTTAGGATCTTTCCAGAGACTAAGTCCCAGTTGTAAAAGACTTGAGTAGTGCAGCGGAAGTTGAGGCAGTTGAACCCTTGTACTAGTATATGAGAACAAGTGATTGATTAAAGAAACAAGCATACATAATTATATAGAAAGTAGGAAAGTAAAGCAGTTGTAGAATACAGTTGCAGGAGCGGTTTATCGAGTCGCACAGCGACTCGATTGTCGCTTCGGTTACCATCCTCGCTGTTGTAACGGTCAGTCGCAACCTCCAGTTGCGACCCTTCGAGTCCCTTCGCGTTCTTTGTCCGCCCCCTCGTGTAACTTCCGTTGACTCGCGTACCCGTTGCGATCTTCCTCGAGTGTAGTGTTACACTTCAGAAACGCTTAAGTCCTTTGAGATATTTCCAACACTCCCCTTCGTTTCTGGAGTGCTGACGTGTTCAGATCCGGTGTCATTTGTCTGTCCGGTCAGCAGCATGCAGTAATCGAACTTCGCCTTCGCCAATTTCTTCGTCAGATAGTCTGCGGCCATTTCTGTCGTAGGGCAGTAACTGAGTTGAAGTCTCCCCTTCGCGATTTCATCCTTGACGAAGAAGTACCGCAGGGCGATGTGTTTGGTTCGATTGGCGAAGCCATCCTTGTTCGCGATTTTGATCGCAGATTGGTTGTCGCAGAGGAGTGAGAAGGCGGGCAGGGTCGCAATCTTCGCTTCCTCGAGTAACTCTCGTAGGTAGAGTCCTTCCTTGGTCGCAGTGCAAAGGGCGATATACTCTGCTTCAGCCGAAGATAGTGCAATTAGTTCCTGCTTGCTCGACTGCCAGGAGATAGTCCCGATAGGTTCTAGTCGGTAGATGTAGCCCGTCCTGGATCGTCGATTTTCCTTATCTCCCGCGTGGTCGGCGTCGACGTATCCGAGTAGTCGTACGGACGGTGTGGTTACCTTGCTGTAGGTAAGTCCGGTCGTTGGCGTGGAGACGAAGTAGATTAGTGCCCGGTTGAGCTCCTCGAGATCTTCTTGTTCCGGCTGCTTCAGATGCGTCGCCAGTTGGCTCGCGCTGTAGGAGAGATCGGGTCGGCAGGTTACTGCTGCGAATAGTAGGCAGCCGAGTTTCTGTTGATACTCCTGGATTTGCTTCGCGGGGAGTTTTGCGGAGGTGCTGTTGTTGTTCCCGTAGCGGTAGGGAGTTGGGATCGTAGTCGGTGTTAGACCGAATTTCTTCGCAACGGTGCCTGCGTACTTTCCAGCGTGTAGGTAGAACGCTGAGTTGTCTTCGACGACATTCAGTCCCAGGTACTGGGTCACTGCGTCGGATACCGTGTCGTCAAATCTTCTTTCAGCTCCCCTTCGAACCAGGTGGCGATGTCGGTAGTGGAGCCGATGTAGAGCAGGTCGTCGACGTAAACGATGAGTAGGATATACTCCTTTCCCTTTTGTAGTCGGTACATGCCTTGGTCATGCGGCAGCTGTAGGAATCCGATTTTTGCGAGGCGACCGTGAAGATGCTGCTGCCAGAGCCGCGGGGCTTGCTTGATCTCGTATAGGGATTTTATCAGCTGGCATACTTTCGTGGGGTCGTCGATGAATCCGTGGGGTTGTTCGACGAAGATCTCAGCGTCCACAGGTGCGTACAGGAAAGCATTTGCGACGTCGATTTGGCGCAGTGGTAGTTTCTTCGTGGCCGCGACGGCGAGTAGGATGCGCAATGAGGTGTGACGGGAGACTGGGGCGAATGTTTCTGTGTTGTCGGTTCCGTATCGTTGATCGAACCCTCGTACGACCCATCGAGCCTTGAATCGTTCGATGGAACCGTCCGCATTGGTCTTGATGCGGAACACCCATTTTCCCGAGAGGACATTCTTCTCGTTGATGTTTGTTGCAGGTACCAGTTTCCATGTATTTCGGTCTTGCAGAGCCTT